TGCTCACTGCAGCCTCAACCGCCTGGGCTCAAGCAATCCTTCTGCCTCAGCCTCTCCAGTAGCTGGGACTTACAGGTGTGCACCACCACACTGGGATATTTTATTTAATTTTTTACAGAGGTGAGGTCTCGCTATGTCACCCGGGCTGGTCTTGAACTCTGGAGCTGAATCAATCCTCCCACCTCGGCCTCCCAAAGTGCTGAGATCACAGGCGTGAGCCACCATGCCTGGCCACAAAGGAAGATATTTACAATTTATTCCCAAGCACAACCTTACATGATGGGTATTATTTAGTCTTCCTGTTTTACTTTATTTATTTATTTTTTTAAGCTGGAGTCTCCCTCCGTTGCCCAGGCTGGAGTGCAGTGGCACGCTCCTGGCCACGGCAGCCTCGACCTGCTGGCTCCAGTGATCCTTCCACCTCAGTCTTCCACACCCAGCTAATTTTTTATTTATTGTAGAGACAAGGTCTTGCCAAGTTGCCTGGGCGGGTCTTGAACCCGCTGGCTCAGGCAATCCACTCGCCTCAGCCTCCTAAAGTGCTGGGATTCCAGGCTGAGTCATCGAACCCAGCCCAGTCTTCTTATTTTATAGTTGAGAACATTGAGGCTCAGAGCCAGCAAGCAACTAGGGCCCCGAGGCTGACCAACTCCCAGCTAGATGACATTTCCCTATATCCCTTGCATTTAGGTGACTGAGTTCTGGCCAAAGGAATGTGGGCAGAGGGGTATCTCTCTTCTCTCGCCTTCACCTGTCAGCCTTGGAAGCTGCATATTAAAGTCACAGCCGTAAGGTGCGGGGTACCGGAGTCACTGTGTGGAGGAGAGCTCTCTGTTAACCAGGGACATCTGTTTTGGACTTTCCATGGATACTGTATGAAGGCTTTGAGGTGTGGGCACTTTGTTACAGCAGTTAGCATTTCCAAAGCGGTAAGTGGAGGAATGGGATTCCAGCCTGTCTGCCACGACCCTTCCAATTCCCACAGTGTGGGCTGTTGAGTGAGGCTTTGAGAGAGATGTACGTTTCCCTAATCTCAGTGTGTGTGAGTGTGTACACATGTATACACGTGTCTCCAAGTGTGCTGGAGAATGATGGTGAGAAGAATCTCTACTCCCTCCACGGTCTCTGACCCACAGTCATCCTCGCCTTGCCTGGTTTTGGAAGGCCAGTGAGCTTTAGTGTTAAATCACCTATTTTTTTTTTTTTTATTTCTTCTTGTTCCGGGCCTCGTTGGGCAGTTTTTCTGTCCTGCATGGACAGGGGAAGAGGAGTAGCCAGCCAGGGTAGGCTGTAGATGACAAAGGATCCCATGGAGGGTGGGGCCAAAGGCTATGAAATCACCTGGCCTTTACCCAGGATCACCCTGACCACAGGGCCATAGAACTGTCTTGGCCATGACTTCAAGGGCAGAGCACCGGTTCTGAAGTGAGAGAAATCTGGACTTGAGTCCTCATTTCTCAACCTGTTGTTATATATTTTAAGGCAAACTGTGAAGCCTCTCAGTCCCTGTTATCAGTCTTACTGGGTCAAGGGGTCCACTGGTCAAGAGAAAAGGTTCGTGATTTGCAGGGGATTTGTGAGGACTGAACCAGTTCGTGTTTACCTATAAAAATGCCCCTGGGAGGTCAAGGTGAGAGGATTGCCTGAGCCCACGAGTTTGGGCCCGGCCTGGGCAACTTGGCAAGATTTCATCTCTACAATAAATTAAAAAATTAGCCCGGTGTGGTGGCGTGTGCCTAAAGTTCCAGCTACTTGGAGGGCTGAGGCAGAAGGATCACCTGAGCCCAGCAGGTCAAGACTCTGGTGGCTTTGAGTGTGCCACTGCACTCCAGCCTGGGTGACAGAGTGAGACTCCCACTCAAAAAAAAATAAAGATAAATAAATATAAATGCCTCGCACACAGTCAACCCTTAACCAACATGACTTGATTAAGAAAATCCTTAAAACTGCAGCTATCCTCTGGTAAGTGATTTCCCAGAGAGGACAGGGACTCCCAGCCTGGCAAAACAAGCACAGAGGAAGGAAGTATCCTGGAAGACCAGGCTGTTGGTCTTAGCAAAGCCCCTGGCTGCTAAGGGGGTAGAAACATGGAAGGTCAGAGGAGCACCTGAATGGGAGCACGGGGCAGAAAAAAGCAAGCCAGCCTCTTTTCTCACCTTCCTGGTCCATCGCCTTCCACCCCCCGCTTGAGACCCTGAGAACTGAGCCCACCCCACATCCCCAAGCAAAACCTCCAATTCCCTACAACCTCCCTGTCATTCCACCCACGACTTGTCCTCCCCGGCCTCCTGCCTCCAGGCTGGGCCACCCCTCCGCCTCCCGGCCGACACCTGGGTCTGAGCAGTTACCGTTTTTGCCCGTGAGCATCTGGAGGAACCGTGGGCACTCCACCTCCACGGTCTGTCCTGGCGCAGAGGAGGGCCAGCAGCTCATGTTTTCCCATAACTTCTCGCAGCCTGCCAAGAAGAGTGCATCAGATGGATGGAGCACGGACCAGGGGCTGCCCCGCCACCCTGTGTCCATCCCCGACACCCCTGGCTGCCCGGAATTCCCACGAGACGTGTCCAAGGTTCCCACTAGGTGCTGGCTCCTTGGAATCAGGAGTGTCTCGCTGCACCTCTTCATCTTAGGGGCTTGGACTCTACCATCTACGTGGTGAGTGCTCAGTGTTGAAGACAAAGGAAGGGGAAAGGAGGGAGGAAGAGAAGGGAGAAGGGACAATGGAGGGGGAGACACATCATCTCATATAGGCCTTGCGAGTGAAGGACTGGATTTCTCTGGAGCAGAAGCCTGCCTCAGCTTGCATGGAGCAACTCAACAGCAGATGAGCCTCGCTTCCAACTGCATGGTACCACCAACCACCTGGGGAGCTTTACAAATATAAACTGGGTAGACCAGGCATGGTGGCTTCTGCCTGTAATCTCAGCACTTTGGGAGGCAGGGGTGAGAAGATCGCCTGAGTGAGCTCACGGGTTCGAGACCAGCCTGGGCAACATGGCGGGACCTCGTCTTTACAAAAAATCAAAAACTTAGGTGGGCATGGTGGTGCACGCCTGTAGTTCCAGCTACCTGGAAGGCTGAGGCGGAAGGATCGCCTGAGCCCAGCAGGTCAAGGCTGCGGTGGCTGTGAGCGTGCCCCTGCACTCCAGCCTGGGTGACAGAGTGAGACCCTGACTCAAATATATATGTATTTATATATTTATATATGTATATATAAGTTGGACCCTACACTCAGGGATTCTGACTGAACTGTCTGGGTGGGACCCAGGCATGTGTGAAAGCTTTCCAGGTAGTTCTAAGGTGAGAGCAGGGTTGAGAACTCATATCTTGTGACCCTCACACTTCACCTTGCATCAAGTTACCCAGAGGGCTTGCTAGAATACAGACTGTTCAGTAGGTCTGGGGCAGGGCCTGAGAATATGCATTTCTAACACATTCCCAGTCTATGCCAGTGCTGCTGCTCTGGGAACCACTGCCCTGGCGTTTGAAAGCAGTTCCCCTAGTCATGGAGTTGTGGTGGGAATGTCGCTGAGGCCACTGCTTTCTACCTCACTGAGCTCCCTGGATGACATCCTTCCCTGAAGGAGAATCTGGTCTCAATGCAGTGAGAAGCTCAACTTATTGTGAACAACCAGTCTCTAGCTGTCCTTATAGACAGTGCATTTGAAGCTGATTTCCTCTTTGATGTGGCTGCTAGGAAGCTCAGAATTAGATCTGTGGCCCAATTCTAAAGGACTTTAAAATGAATAAAAAGATTCTGGGTGTTTTCAATGCAAAACTAGGCACTGTCTAAGCACAGCCTTCTAAGTTGTCTGATTCTATGGAGTATTGGGCTTTCATGGTCTTTGAGCTACTTTGCAGCTCTATGAGCTAGAGAGAATTGGTAGCAATGCAAATGATTTTTGTCCCAAGGCATACAAATAATTATCATCCAGTTGAAGTAGAATTAATTTCACTTCCCTCCCTGCGTATTCAGCCAGTTTTGCATCTGTTTGTAAGTTCATTTGCCATTCTGCCGTATATGTCTGGTGTTTTGAATTCTTTTTTTTTTTTTTCTGAGTCGGAGTCTCACTGTCATCCAGACTGGAGTGCAGTGGCACGCTCACAGCCACCGCAGCCTCGACCTGCTGGGCTCAGGCAATCCTTCCGCCTCAGCCTTCCAGGTAGCTCACAGCCACCACAGCCTTGACCTGCTGGGCTTAGGCGATCCTTCCAAGGATCAACCTTCCAAGTAGCTGGAACCACAGGTGTGCATCACCACACCCAGCTAATTTTTTGATTTATTGTAGAGATGAGTTCTCGCCAAGTTGCCCAGGTGGGTCTCGAACCCGCAGGCTCAGGCAATCCACTCACCTTGACCTCCCAAAGCATGGGATTACAGGCTGAGCCACCGAACCCGGCTAGGGCTAAATTTTTAAGAAGTCCACTGACTTAAAGGAAAAAATATGAAGACAATTATAGTCCAGGCAGCACAAGGCTCTAACTGGACTAGAGGAAATGCGGCCTGGGGAGCCGGGCGGTCTCTGTAGCCTCCTGGCTGCTTGCGGGGACCCCCAGCTCTGCTCCCAGGGTGTGAGCGGAGCATCTCAGGAAATGGGAGGGTTGAAAGTTGTCTCTGTCCCCCAGACTGAGCAGGAATGAGAGGCAGTGAGGACGCTCCTGGCTCAGTTGTGGATGTCCTGTCCTCAACCTGACCTTCCCCGGGAGCTCCGGCAGGGAGGGGACACAGCCCAAGGCGGGAGTTACTGTGGAACCCTGGGCAGTTTTTGATCCAGAGCGGCAAAATTCACCACCTAAGTTGGGGGTAGGGGGGATTCAATGACATAAGGGATAGGGGAGCTTTGTCAACAGGGCCACAGCTCCTGAGCCACGAGGGAGGGGTCGCCAGGAGGGTCAGGGCCAAAAGGAACCTAAGTAGCTGTGCGGCCGGCGGCAGGTCCGCAATGTGGTGAGGGGCAGACATCCCTCTGTCTCCGATGGTCACCTGTCCTTACCCACTGCCTGGCTGGAGGGGACGGGAGAGAAGGCTGGGGAAGTAAAAGTGGAAAACAAGGGAAGGTTAATGCCAGGCCATAAACACCACCTGGGGAGGAGGGGCTCCCTGCTTGAGTGCTGTGGGCCTGGGAGGAGAGCATGGGATACCGCATTGAAGTAAGTGGTGTGGTGGAAACAGAGTGGGCTTCGTACCCAAGTCTACCTTGGGCATGCCACCTACCTCTGTGAGCCTCAGTTTGCTCATCTATAAAATGGGCATAGTAATATTCCCCAGGATTTTTGCAAGAATTAAATGATTTGCATGTGTAGTCGAATATTTTCTGATCTATTAACCTCTGTTTTTTTTCCCCCTCTTCTTTTTTTTTTTGTCCTTTTCTTTCTCCTTCCTCCTTAGAGGTTCAAAGTCTCAGAGGAGAGCAAGTTCAAAGTTTCAGAGGAGACTAATGATCTTCTTGGCTTGGGTTTCCAGAGGCCCCTGGGGGAATGAAGAAGTATTCTGGCATAATCAAAATGCTTAGGAGAAAACAGAAAAGGAGCAAGAATTTCCCCAGGCTGGGAGGAGACAGAGGGGCGGTGTGAGCAGGGACATGGAAGGTTCCAAAAGAGGCACGAGTACCCTGCTGCCTGGCCAGCCCTGAGTTATGGGGTGGCCCAGAGAAGAAACAGCTATGGGGACAGGTCTAGGCGAGCGGACCACAGACTTCCTCACAGAGCCCGTGCCCCCCAGCAGACCACAGAAGGGGCCATGTGGCCAGGACAGCGGCTGTCAGTCACCATCTATGTAGAGCAAAGCTTGAGATGAGAGGGGCTTCCCCTGAATACCATAAGACTATGGGACTCTCTAGCCCCCTGGGAAAGCTGAGTGGGGGGAGATCCAGAAGTTTCTGGCATCTCAGGAGAATGCAACAGAATTAAAGTCCTAGAAAATGGAGAAAGTTCTATGAAAGTTGTCTTGTTTATTTTTGTGAAGCCTCTGGCACTAGGTCAGACCAATGCAGACACTCAGCAAAGCCAGCTTCCTCTGTCCTGCCTGTGGGGATGCGAGGTGGCCCCAGAGGGAGGTCTGGGGTGGGGAGGAGCTGGCAGAAGGGGATGGACCCCTAAGAAGGCCAGCCCAGTGCGGGGAACCCAGGGCCCTCCGCTAACTGTGAGTTTGTCCTACGTCCACCCAGAACAGGGCATCCATCCTCCAGTGCTTGATCTATTGCTACGTGAGCTCAGATGGCCTGATGATAACCCGGACTATTTCTGGAGTGATGTGTCAGGCTATAGGGGCACGGGGCCAGGAACTGGCTAGGTCACCCAGGGTCATGCGGGATCAGGTCACCAGGGCAGTGGGTACTCCATGCCCCACACCCCTTCCATGCTCCTGATCCTCACTTCATTGCTAAAGGGATCACCGGAGAGTCCACAGCTCCTCCTTGCCTGCCCCTTTGTGTCCTTTCCTAGCTGCATGCTTCTGTCATGTTCGCTCTGTCCTTCACCTGGGAACTGCGGCAGCCATCTCCCGGGCGTCTCCGCCACCTGCTTACCTCTGCTCACCCTTTCTCCTCCCTGGGCCCCCAGTGGCTCAGGACCGGGGCTACTCAGCGGCTGCTTCTGGTTCCATCATGTCTCCCTTCACCTCTGACAGCTCAGCTCTGGCCCCATCCCCAGGCAATCCAAGGGCCAGCCTGGTGAGGTGTCCTTGGCTTTGCCAGTGACCCAACCTACAATCTTGAGGTCAAGAAAGGTGTTCTCGGCTGGGCTCGGTGGCTCAGCCTGTAATCCCAACACTTTGGGAGGCTGAGGTGAGTGGATTGCCTGAGCCCGAGGGTTCGAGACCCACCTGGGCAACTTGGCGAGACCTCATCCCTACAATAAATCAAAAATTAGCCAGGCGTGGTAGCGCGTGCCTGTAGTTCCGGCTACTTGGAAGGCTGAGGTGGAAGGATTGCCAGAGCCCAGCAAGTTGAGGCTGCAGTGGCCAGGAGCGTGTCTGGGTGACAGAGTGAGACTCCAACTCAAAAAAAGAAAGATGTTCTCTCTGTGACAGATGGACCACATACAGAAGCTGTGGTCAGGATGGGTTTAGCGTAACTGAAATCCCACAGTAGCAAGGCATCTAATCCCACATCACAGAAGGAACAGCAAAAGGATCTGAGGGTATTTATCTTGAAACCAAGAAGCATAAGCCGTTTGTTGGGATATGCTTTCTTAGGGGTAATGAGTTCCCCATCACTGAAAGTATCCAAGCAGAGAATGTCATGGAATTGGGAGACTGGGAAGGTGTCTGACACAGAATGGAGGCTGCTGGAGGAAGCTTTGACCCCTGAGGCCTAGCGGTGGCTTCCTGGGCACAGGTTGGCACCTCTCTCTCCAGGAGGGTAATCGAGGCACGCTTCTGAGCACCAGGAGTTAAGTCCTTCCCCTCCCAGGGACTGTTATGAACTATAGGCCACCCCCACCAAACTCTCCTCAT